CTCTATTCATGGTCTGTCATCCTAAAGAAGTCAGCAAGAAGAATGTGTGGTATCTGGATACTGGTTGCAGCAATCACATGTGTGGAGACAAATCTGCGTTTTCAGATTTGGATGAGTCTTGTCAAGACAAGGTGAAATTTGACGATAATTCCACTATTGCAATCAAGGGAAGGGGAAAGGTAACCATTCGTGCCAAAGACAATTCAATTCAGACTATTTCTAATGTTCTGTATGTACTAGATTTGAAGTTGAATCTGCTTAGTTTGGGACAGCTTTAGGAAAAAGGATATGAAATCCTTATTAAAGATGGAGTTTGCCAAATTCATGATTCAAAGCTTGGCCTGATTGCAAAGGTCAAGATGATGGGAAATAGGTTGTTTCCATTATACTTGCAGACCACAAATCTGTCATGTTTATCTGCCAGATTAAAGGACACAACTTGGTTATGGCATTGCCGATTTGGACATCTTTATTTTGGTGGGTTGAAAGCTTTGCAACAGAAGAAGATGGTAAATGGTCTTCCTCATTTTGATTCTCCATTAGAAATTTGTGGAATTTGCGTGGTCAGTAAGCAGCATCGTGACAGCTTTCCTAAAGACAGATCTTGGAGAGCAAAGCAGGTGCTAGATCTGGTTCATTCTGATTTGTGTGGACCCATAAATCCAACATCCAATGGAGGTAAACAATACTTTATTACCTTTGTTGATGATTACAGTTGCAAGACATGGGTGTATTTTTTGTAGACCAAGTAAGAAGCCTTAGCATCCTTTAAAAATTTCAAAGTCTTGGCTGAGAATGAGGTTGGCAGATCTGTAAAGGTTTTGCGGACAGATCGTGGTGGTGAGTTTAATTCAAAGGAATTTGTAGATTTTTGTGAGTCCAATGGCATTAAAAGGCAACTCATAGCAGCCTACACACCTCAGCAGAATGGTGTATGTGAGAGGAGGAATCGCACAATCATGAATATGGTGCGAAGTCTGATGTCAAAGAGCAGCTTGCCTAAAGAGTTTTGGCCAGAAGCTGTTAATTGGAGTGTTCATATCTTGAACAGAAGTCCCACATCTCCACTTCCAGATTTGACGCCAGAAGAGGCTTGGAGTGGACGTAGACCTGCTGTTGATTACTTCAGAATTTTTGGATGCATAGCATATGCACATGTGCCAGATCAGAAAAGGAGTAAGCTTGATGACAAAGGGGAAAAGTGTATTTTCCTTGGTGTTAGTGATCAGTCTAAAGCTTACAAATTATACAATCCTTTAACCAAGAAGGTCATCATTAGCCGTGATGTAGTGTTTGATGAAGCAAGCACTTGGTCTTGGACAGAAAAATCTGGGCAACAGATTCCTGTAGATTTCGAAAATGGAGAAGATTTGACTGTGCAGAACTCAGAAGGTCAAACTTCAGCAGATCTCGAGGTTTCAAGACAGACAGTTGAAGAAATTCTGCCTATAGAAGTAGAGTTCAGTACTGGAGAAAGTCTGCCAACAACACCATAACTGGAATCTGGAACTAGTTCTAGACCTCAACGCAAAAAGAGAAGACCAGCATGGTTGGAAGATTATGAGGTAACAGATCTACCTCAAGATCATGTTCCAGTTAATCATTTTGCTTTATTTGTAGATTGTGATCCCTTAACATATGAAGAAGCTGTTAAAGAAGAAAAGTGGCAAAAGGCCATGGCAGAAGAAATTGGTTCTATTGAAAGGAACCAGACTTGGGAGTTGATAGATCTTCCAGAAGGGCACAAAATAATTGGTGTTAAGTGGATCTACAAGACAAAGCTTAAAGAGAATGGGACGGTTGACAAATTCAAAGCTCGCTTGGTGGCAAAGGGTTACAAGCAAGAGTTTGGCATTGATTATCAAGAAGTTTTTGCTCCAGTTGCAAGGACGGATACCATCAGATTGGTGATTGCATTGGCAGCACAAAACTCATGGCCGATCTATCAGCTTGATGTGAAATCTGCCTTCTTGCATGGAAATCTGCAAGAATAGGTATTTATTGATCAACCTCCTGGTTATGTGAAATCTGGTTCTGAGCATAAGGTTTACAGATTGAAGAAAGCCTTATATGGACTAAAACAAGCACCTAGAGCTTGGTATAGTCGAATTGATGCTTATTTTTTGAAGGAAGGTTTTCAAAAGTGCCCTTATGAGCATACACTTTACATCAAATTTGGAGATGGAGGTAAATTGATTATAGCATGCTTATATGTTGATGATTTAATTTATACTGGGAATGATTTTGGCATGTTGGAAAAGTTCAAGCAGTCCATGAAGCTTGAATTTGAAATGACAGATCTGGGTTTGTTGCATTATTTTCTTGGTCTGGAAGTACTACAGTTAGATTCTGGAATTTTTGTTTGTCAAAAAAAATATGTGCAGGAAGTTCTGGACAGATTTCAAATGAAGAACTGCAATTCTGTCACTACACCAGTTGACAAAGGTGTAAAGCTCGTGAAAGATCTAGGAGGCAAATCTGTGGATAGCAAACTGTATAAGCAGATTGTTGGAAGTATGATGTATCTGACAGCAACAAGACCAGATATAATGCATGGTGTAAGTCTGATTAGCAGATATATGGAGCATCCAAAGGAGTTGCACTTGCAGACTGCTAAAGAATTCTCAGGTATTTATGTGGAACTGCGGATTTTGGACTATTCTACAAGAAGGGTGACCAGACAGATCTCGCAGGCTTTACAGACAGTGATTATGTTGGAGATCTGGATGACAGAAAAAGCACTTCTGGGTTTGTTTTTATGTTGGGATCTGGTGCAATTTCATAGTCTTCAAAGAAGCAACCCATTGTGACTTTGTCCACAACAAAAGCGGAATATGTGGCAGCAACTTCTTGTGCTTGTCAAGCTATTTGGTTGAGAAGAATTATGGAAGAACTTGAGTTGAATCAACATGAGGCCACTTCAATTTATTGTGATAACAGTTCAGCTATCAAGCTTTCTAAAAATCCAGTTTTGCATGGGATAAGCAAGCATATACATGTGAGGTATCATTTCTTGCGCAACTTGGTAGAAGATGGAACAATTGAGTTGATTTATTGTAGAACAGAAGATCAAGTGGTTGATATATTCACAAAACCCCTCAAAGTAGCAGTTTTTTCAAAACTGAGAGAGTTACTTGGTGTTTGCAACATGCAGAATTCAGTTTGAGGAAATGTCTGCAGATTCCAGATCTGCAGATATGGTGTTATCCAGATTTCTTTAAACTAAAGTCTGAAGACTTTTAGTTTAAGGGAGGGATTGTTGGAAATTAGATCCTATATTTTAGCCATTTTCTTTATATTTTAGGAAGTTTAAGTTATTTATTTGGTTTAGGTTGTTATCATTTAAATTAGATTAGATAAAATTTGTTAGTTATCTTTTTAGATAATATTATCTTGTAAAGCCTATTTAAAGACTGGATTATTTTCAGTTTAATGTGAGATTCAATTTTTCATTTCATCTTCTTCTTTTCGGAATCCTTGATTTTTTAACAAATCTAGCATTTATAATCATTTAATTAAAAACTTGTATTTTAAACATATACTTAATAGTCTTAAATTTTGTTTATCAATGATCTATCGTCTATATTCATTCTATCAAAGCTCTGGTTGCGTTCCCTGTGGTAATTTCAGGGAAGATGTTGATCATGTTTGCACATCTTGCAGCAAGTCTCAAGTTTTGTGGCTCCGAATATGTTCGTTGGTGGGGTTTTTCTTTTGCATGCCCGGCAGCTGCCTATGCCTCCCATCTACTCATTCAACTTGCTTATGGTGTAGGCACCAAACTGTCCTGAAAATGTTGATCCCTTAGGATTCTCACTACCATCTGGGCAGCTTGTATTACAAGATATGGTGTCATCTTCAACAATGCTTACTTGGCATGAAGACAGATTTTTTGATCTTATCCAATCAAAGTCCTACACCTGGATCAAAGGGAAGGCTTCGAATTCTGCTCGTCTTTAGCAATTGGTGCCTCTGCCCTAATTTGTACTTGTAATAAAATTTTCTTAGCTTACAAAAATTATATATAATCAATAAACTAGTTAAATACATTCAATTAATTTAAAATTTGACATGCATGTAGAATATTAAATCCAAAATTTTTTCTGGCTTTCTTAAATTCTTAAATTTAGTGATTAGTATTTGAAAATATTAATTATGAGAGATTGTATTTTTAATATTGAAATTATTGAGACAGTGACTTAACACTAGTCACCACCTAAGTTATCATGATGTGGGCCTGTGGCCCAAAATGAAATCGTTGGAATGAGGCCATGAGAAAGTCTACCACCCAATTAGTGGCAAGTGGACCAGCACTTGTCAAGGGTTAAAATACTCCTCGTAATAATTGTCCTTTAAGTCTCTCTATATTGTCTAGTTAAAAGCTCATCTCTCTTGCACATGAGCCTCCGGCCCAGTGGCGTCAAGCCACAATTAAAGTGCATCCTCCTCCGCTCGACAACAGTTTAAATCCAATCCCTTACAAATTTGTTCAAAAAAAAAAAAAAAAAAAGGCTCATCCTCTTTAGTTCGACAAAAACCTAGTTTTAACCCTTCATCTTATTAAGTTTGAAGGTTTTAGCCCCTCACCTTATATTAAGACACTTTTAACCCTTTATCTTACTAAATTTATAGGTTTTAATCCCTCACATATTAAAATCAAAGAAAATAGTCTTCACTTTATACTTGCTGTTAATTTTGTTAGTTGAAAGTAGGTTTTTGTCAACTAATAGTTAACTAATAGTCAGTTAATAGAATTAACAAAATATTATAAAATTAGTTCTGTTAATTTTGTTAGCTGAAATAAGGTTTTTGTCAATTAACAGTTAACTAACAGTCAGATAATAGAATTAATAGTCAGTTAACAGAACTAACAAAATGTTATAAAGTGAGGGTTATTTTCTTCAATTTTAATAGACGAGAGACTAAAAGTGTCATAGTATAAGATGATGAGCTAAAACCTACAAATTTAGTACGGTGAGGGATTAAAAGTATCATAATATAAGGTGATGGGCTAAAACTTTTAAACTTGGTAAGGTGAGGGGCTAAAGCTAGGCTTTTGCCCTCTAATTCGAACTTGGGGTTCAATAGTTTATTTTCAAATTTTAATATTTGGATTTAGTTAGTTAAAAGTTTAAACTCCCACTAATGACTTCGGAAAAAAATCCTTCATCCCCCAAATTCTATCATGTTAAAAAAAAAAAAAAAAGTTCATCTCTCTTGAATTGAGTTTTTGGGTTCAATGGTATGTCTCTAAACCTTAAGTATTTGAATTTAATTAGTTGAAAGTTCAATTCTCGCCAAACAACTTGAAATAATCCCTCGTTCCCCAAAAATTCCCCCATGTTTCAAAAATAAAAAAGCTCATCTTTCTTTGCACTTGATCTTCTCGGCCTAGTGGTTTTGTCAGTCTTAATAAGTGCACATGGTATTCTCATATTCTAAATGCATTATGAATTGAAAAAAAAAAAATGCAACTGGGGAGAGTTCCCATACTCGGTGCATCGTCTGGAGGTCCTGACTCACCTACAGAAATGATTTCCCCTACCGCACAAACCCATCGTCCATCCTCAGACATACATTCCTTTCACTAGCCACTCTCCCCACTCACTGGCATTCTCAACAACCACCCTTCACCCCTTCATCGTTCCACTTACTAACTGCTCCCGGCCGCAGACCCCGATCCCCATCCTTTTTTGACCTTCACTGACCTTGTTTACGGTGACGGAGCTAAAAATTTGAGGTAGGGGCAAATTTCTTTTTTATTTTTTTTTTTATTTTTTAAGTCATTTAGGTTTTATTTGACTATATTTTGTACAATCTTTTTTCACTATGATTTTTAAAAAAATGTAAATTTATTTCATATTTGTCAAAAAAAATTATTATTTTATATATTTTTAAAATGTTAAAAAATAAAAAACTTATATTTATAGCAAACATAAATAAATAAAACCTTAATTGTTTATATCTGTGTTATCAATAATGGTTGCTATAGGCATAGTGGTTCATATTCTATCCGCTATAATTATATCTGTAGCATAGCGGATTTATAATAGCAGTCGCTTTGACAGCTATAGTGACCGTTTTTTCCATAATAGATAGTTGTTGCTATTAACGTTATTTAAACATTCAATGAAAAGTAAAAATAAAAAATAAAAAAAAAGAAGAGAGTTCAACATCAAACCCCTTAAAATATAGTGGTTTTTTAACTTACATTCTACTGAAAATCCAAGAAAAATCTTTTTTAAACCCAAATAGAAACAAAACCCTAGTTCACTTTTCACTTCACGCATAAGTGTGCTCCCTCACATAAAAGAAGCTGAGCAAAGCCCTTCCTTTTCTTCTCAAAGAAGCTGAGCCTATCAGTCATAAAAGAAGTCATCGACAGCAACCCACTTTATCACAGTAATCTCTGACGAACACAAAACTCAGATTCGGGGTGGCTCAACTTTTGCTCAAGTACTCATTTCTTTTTCCTTTTTTTTTTTTTAATTTGTTTCCTCTCTTTTTTGATTGTTCCAAATTCTAATTTCTAAATCTGAAATTTGAATCCATCTCTTTCTCTCTTTTTTTTTTCTTCATTTATTTGTTCAGATGAATCCATCTCTCTTTCCTTTCCTTTTTCTTTTTCTTTTTTCAATTTATTTATTCTCATTGTCATCTTTCATTGTTCTCTAAAAGTATGAAGAAATATCTTTTTTTATTTTACTATTTTTTTCTTTGGACATAAACATACACATCTATGTTCTTTGACATAAACATACACATCCATGTTCTAGTTCCATACTCTGTTTTTTTTTTTTTAAATAATTTATTAACTTGTATGTATGTTAAACTATCATTTAATTTAATTTGATGTCTTATGACTCTTCGAAGCAATCTCTTTTGTTTTTTGG